CCCCTCCTTTTTTGGGGTGCCGTCCCGCAGCCTGGGCTCGGAGCCGGCCATGAGGCGCTTGGAAGAGGATTCTGAGGTCTACAAGATGCTGCAGGAGAACCGGGAGCTGCGGGCGGCCCCGAGACAATCCAGCACCTTTCGTCTGCTGCAGGAGGCTCTGGAGGATGAAGGCGGAGGTGAGGCAGGGAATTGTCAGAGTTGGAAGGACCTCTAGACATCATCCAGTCCAACTCCCCTGCCAAAGCAGGGTTGCCCAGAGCATGTCACTCAGGCAGGGCTTGAAGATCTCCAGAGAAGGGGACTCCACACCCTCCCTGGGCAGCCTGTGCCAGGGCTCTGCCACCCTCACCCCAAAAAAGTTATTCTTCAGATTTGAATGGAACTTCCCATGGTCCAGCTTGTGCTCATTGCCCCTCGTTCTCTCACTGGGAACCACTGAAAAGAGTCCGGCTCCATCCTCTCTCCACCCACCCTTTAGAGACTTGTCAGCATTAAGAAGGTCTACCCTCAGCCTTCTCTTCTCCAGACTAAAAAGCCCCAAGGCCCTCAGCCTTTCCTCAGAAGGTAGATGCTCCAGGCCCCTCCTCATCTCTGGAGCCTCTGCTGTCCCCTCTCCAGCAGTTCCCTGTCCTTCTGGAACTGGGGAGCCCAGAACTGGTCCCAGTGCTCCAGCTGGGGCCTCCCCAGGGCAGAGCAGAGGGGCAGGATGACCTCCCTCCACCTGCTGCTCACACTCTTCCTCATGCCCCCCAGGAGCCTTCTTGGCCACCAGGGCCCATCCCTGACTCATGGTCACCTTGTTGTCCACCAAGACTCCTAGATCTTTCTCCTCAGAGCTTCTCTCCAGGAGGTCACCCCCAACCTGTCCCGGTGTGGGGGGTTAAGTGCAGGACCCCCACGCTTGCCCTGGTTGAGTTTCACCCGGTTTCTCCCCACAGCTGGCCCCACAGCCCCCTTCCCCAGCCGCCTCTCCCCCAGCGCCCGCAAACCGGTGGCCGGTGTCCAGAAGCTTCACGTCTGTGAGAAATGTGGCAGCACCATCGCGTGAGTGGGGGGGGAAAAAAAGGAGGAGGGGGACAGGATTTATCCTTTCCATCCTTCCTGATGATGTGTGTGTGTGTGTGTCCCCCTTTTCCACCCCCCCAGGACGCAGGCGGTGAGGATCCAGGAGGGCAGGTACCGGCATCCTTCCTGCTACGCCTGCGCCGACTGCGGCCTCAACCTCAAGATGAGGGGTCACTTCTGGGGGGGGGACGAGCTCTACTGCGAGAAGCACGCCCGCCTGCGCTACCAGGGGGGGGCCACCACCTCCGTCGCCCCCCCACACACCCTTTCCCCCCACTCCTGAACCCCAAAATGGGGCACGGTGCGATGGGGAGCTCGCCACCTGCATCCCCCCCCTCTAAAAAAATCCCCCCCCATGTCTGGGGGAGCAGCACACATCCTGTGCCCCCCCCGGGATGCCCCCCCCCACTCCTGAACCCC